CTCAGCTCTCACCAATCAAAGCTGATTATTTCTGAGTGTTTTCTAAGCATTATGTCTTTTATACTGATTTACTCACAAGAAAGCAAAATGTGATAGCTAGGATTATAATCCTCATTTTACATATGAAGACAAGAAAATTTAAAGAAATTAAATCATTTACACCTCCACTCCTGACACTGTTGTAAAGTGGACCTGACATAGGAGTTTGGGAGAAACTAAGAGGGGATAAATAATGTATACTGCATTGAAACAGATGAGGGAGAGAACTGTTTAGAAGGAATGTATTATTAGGTATTATTGTCATGACAAGAGTCCAGAACGAAAGCTGCATAGTGGAGTAGACTGGGGGGTAATGGGGTGGGGGGAGGAATTGTATAACAATGAAAGAATTTTTTACTTTTCAAAGAGAAAAGCGAACTGGGGAGAAGGGTGAGCCGGGACGAAATTGTGCAACTATGAATGAATGGAAATCTAAAGTCCCTGTAAACTTTCATTAAAATAAATTTAAAAAAGAGAGAAGGGCCGGGAATGTCACTATTTCCAGAAAGATCTTCCTTCCGAAAAGTGCAAGTGGGTAGAGAACTTAAGATGCTCTAGCACTGTCTCGGATGGCATTGTTCACTATGGAGGTGAGTGGGCTGTGTGCTGGGGCAGTGAGAGGGTCACTCTCTTAATGCAACCACAGTTTCCTGTTAGCTGAGGGCTTCATCTGCTCTTCAATGTCTTTCCAGACATCTCTACTGGTTAGACGAGTACCTGAAAAGATGGGGAACGGCACACTCTTCTCTACAGAATGTAATGTCAGCAGATGTGCTGAATGAGATCTGGTGTGATGCTGTCCATTGCTTTCCCATGGGTCACATGAAAAAATATTGTCCTCTCCTGGGCCACTGGGTCCCAGAGGGAGGCCCTGACTGCCCGAGGTCACACTCCATTCCTGGATAGCCATGGCACATCTTCCTCAGCTGTTAATTTTCATTAGTGATGGTTATGTACCACCAAGTCAGAACCTACCCACAGCTGACCCTCCAGCAGGTTTTCAGAGGCAGTAATTGCCTGGGAGGAGATTGCCCATCCTTCTTTCATGGAGCCGCTGGAGGATTCGAACCTTGTGCCTTCAGGATTACAGCACAGATTCTTACCACTAAGCCACCAGAGCTAGAGAGTTATTAATAATGAAAATGATTTTATAGTGCTCATGGTAGCACAACACAGTGATTATAATTTATGTCACTGAGTTAGTTGTACATTTAAAATTATTAAAATGTCAAACTTGTTACCTGTGTCCTATCAAAATAACTGTTTTTTAAAAAAATGTGACTATGCTTGGGTAAGGGGCAGGGTTAGAGAAAGAGAGAAAGACCCTCAAAAAGATGAGCTGGCATGGCAACTGTCACATGAACTTGAGTATAGCAGAGATGGTGAGGAAAACACAGGGTATAGGGTACGGTCCAGATCTGACAGCGATGTGGGGAGTCATCAACTCAATGGCACCTAGTAACATCCTAAACGAGTAAATTTTAATAAATTTGATAAAATTTAAAGCAGCAATGGTCTATTTCAAGTTATGCCTGAATCCTATAGACATACTTCTTTACATTAAAGAATATTTTGGTAGGAAACGTGATAAACTAAGATAAATTAGAATAATCAATGGTACATTATATTAAAAAAACTTTGCATTACACAGCTTTTTTAAAATGAATGCAAACAATACATTATTTGTATCTCCTTATGGTGATATAACACAAAGCTCCTTAGGGAGCTCTGGTGGTCTTAGTGGTAAAAAGGTGCGCTGCATTCCCAAAGGCACACAGTTCAAATCTGTTAACAGTTCCTTAGGATAGTGATCTCCTCCTGTGAGTTTAATTGCCTCTGAAAACCTGCTGGAGGGTCAGTTTCAACATGATAGCACACAAGTATCCTCTTATTAGATTTAGTTCTAAGTGAGATTTTCACATGTTCAACCAATATTTTAAGACAATTTGCTATGTACCCAACAGATAAGAATCCATTAATCCACTGAACTCATTTGTTGAAAAAACTTTGTTTCAGCACGTAGCTAAAAAACAAGAAAATGTTCCTGAAATCAGCTCTTCATTATATACTCAGAAGAGGCCTCAGTAATTAATTCAGGGATGAGTGACTTTTTGTTTTTATACAATTTTATTTCAGATTGTTTATGTGAATCAGCGAACACTCCTTCCAGGAGAAAAGCAGGTAAGAGTATAAATGAGCTTAGAAGGACTGGCGCCTAACATAACAAAGACTTTATGTGCCCTAAGGAGTGTATCTTAGTTGTATACTAACTCAATTGACCTGAATGATTCATTAGACAAGCTTTCGGTGATGAGAAAAGGCAATGAGATTTTTTTCTCCTCTCTTCTTCTTCTTTCTTAAATGGGCACAAT